AACTTTAGAAAAAACAAACCCTTAAATATATCTTTCTCATATAAACCGAAACAGTAATGGACTCCAAGACATGTTGAATTTAAAAAATAAAATTAAGACTAACAGATGTTTTATTTGAAACTAGAACCGCATATTGATTAAATAAAACTAAAATTGAAAATGCCGACAAATATTGATTAGGCCAATAAATCCGTAAACTAAATGAACCCGAAAAGGCCAATAAATCCAATAGCATTATTGCAATTTTCAATTTTCACTACCAAGCATGTTATGATTGTCTATCTTGGTGATCGTCTATCCACAAAAAAGCAAATGAAAATTGAAATTTGTTCTTTGATAACATGGATTCAGCACAAAAAACTGTAATAATCAGTTTACACATTTGCAATTGCTAGAAACGAAAACAGTGTCCTCTCAAACATTTTTTGTAACTTTTAATAGACATAATGTACAAATAAATTAAAACACCCAAATATATTTTCCAAAATTATGGTGTAAAAAAGCTTTGAAGGTTCATCATGTTCTCAAAAGAAAATTCAACATATCTTTTCGTTATTGTTGAATAAAAAAAGGGAAAAATGTTTTTGCTGATAAGTTATGTGTATTTATTCCCAAAACAACGTTATTTTGGTATTAAAATTTTAAAAAGTTATAAATATAAAGACTATTATAACCTTGAAATAAATTAAAATTACAAAAATACCATGATTTTCGTCTCAAAACATCGTCGTATTGAACTTATTGCAGATAATTTATCTGCAGTAAATACAGAAAAAAGTGAACCCATAAAACAAACAAACAAACAAACTTGTTCGTGACCAATAGATATATTTAAACAAAATATATATATATATATATATATATATATATATATATATATATATATGGGTTTAACTTTTCTTATGTTGTAGGATTGTAGGTTAGAAAAAAGTAGAGAGAAGTTAAATGTGGGTCCCATATTTTATATTAAAAAAGAAAAGAAAAATTATTTGGCACAGAAAACGAATTTGTGTAGGAAAATGAGAATATCTCATGTGGCAGGAGAGTATTATTTCCTTATATATATATATATATATATATATATATATATATATATATATATATATATGAATAAGACCGATTTGCATTCCGAAAGATTTATTTTAACGTGCACCTCTTTTGTTATTATATAAAAAAAAAATTTGGTGTTTGTCATTTTAAATGATATAAGTTATGTCATTTTAGGAGAGAGATAGACACAGAAAAACGGAAATCATAAGAGAGAGAAAGTTTGTGGTTTTTTTAATTTAAAATTTAAATTTTCTGTGTCTGTATCTCCCTTAAAATGACATAACTTTCTGTCATTTAAAATGACAAACACTTTTTTCATAAAAAAAAGGCATGAAAATCAAAATTAAAAAAAAAATGTGAATTTTTATTTTATTTTATTTTAATTCAAGTGTAACAAAAAAAATATCTAACAAAAATCAACAGCTATAATGACAAACCATAACAAATTCCCGTGTAACAACTTTAACAATTCAACAAGTTAACATCGTGGGTTTCACATCATCTAATAAATCGGAATAGAAATAGCCATAGGCATGACACATTTTACAAAACAATTCAAGTAAACAGCACACTTTCGCTAAAATCAAAAGTGGAATATGATAGTCTTCCATGTAAACAGCTAATAGTTTTCACAAAACAGAATTGCTAATATCAGGCAATTAATATCACGAAACAGTTATGGCTATCACGCGTTTTACGAAAATAATATTCTAGTGAAAGAGGTTCAAGTAACTTATATAAAACAAGGGTTTTATAAGAGTTATATTATAGAAAAGTGATTGTGTAATGTTATAGAGATTCGTTTTGTGTGTCGTAATTTTTTTTTTTACTTCAAAAAATATGAGCTCACAAAATATTATGTGTATACAAAACTTTTTTATATTATATTAAATGATGAATGCAAATTCCATAAAACAATTGCCTTGACGCAAAGTCAAATGGGAATCAACAGTAGAAACAAAATACTAATAGTATTCGCTTACCAAAAAAAAAAATTACTAATACTATTCAGTATTTGTGCTTCACGAAACAACATTTTCAATTATTGTGAAACATTAAATTGAATTGTAAAATGAAAGAGTGTACTACAGTAACTTGAAATTCTAGTCATGGAAAACACTAACCACAATAACCAAAAGAAATCCTAATAACAAAATGCACGAGAAACGTTGATAAAGAAAGCATAACACTGTACATGGAAGTTGAATATCAAAAAAAACTTTTAATTAAGGTAGCATATTCATATTTAATGGATTCTACAATGATATACATCAGTATATGTTAGGATTATTTTATTCCTTAATCATGTATATAATTATAAAATACTAAACAATATTAAATCAAAGTTGAGATTGTGCATACCTTATTAAATCATCACAAAGTCAAAAGAAAGAAGAGACTACATGTTAAATCTTCCTCTCTATCACCTATTTTGATAAGATGGGGGCATGATGACTTATGGAATTTAATTCCAATATAATTAGGCTAGAGAGGAGACCTAACTAATAACACAGAGAAAACTCTATATCCACTGGGTCCACCCATCATGAAAAACCAGGGTCACACCTACACTGCTGCACTACTAGGCCCAATAACAACAGATGGGTCCACCCATCATGAAAAATCAGGGTTACACCTATATTGCTGCACAACTAGGCCCAATAACAACAATGTCAAAAGCCTAACTAATTCAATGTGATCACAATAAGCTAGTTACAAAAATAATATTAGAATATCAATTAACCCGATTAATTTTAAAATACAAAATTAATTAATTAATATTGACCATAAATAAAATTTCTAACATCAATAACATATATTTATAGTTAGAAAAAGAAATCTGTATAGGTGCAAATAACACGTGTACAGAGATAATATTGCTCTATTAAGTAAATGACATGAATAACCCACCCCCCTCCCAAAAAAATAAATAAATAAATGCGATTTTTTTTTTTCTCCCTAGTCAATTATTATTATTATTATTTCCTACAATTCCAAATACACATTATTTTTTAGATTTGAGAAAAAAAAATGATGTTTTGAGAAAATTCATACTGCAAAAAAAAAAAGTAAAATTCTCAAACACCCTGAATTTTTTTCCCCAAATCCCAAATTCACGTTATTTTAGGTTGCGGAAGATAATTTTTTTTTTTTTTTGGTAAAAAGGTTGCGGAAGATAACTTTAATTGCAAAGAACAAAACAAAAAACGATTATGTAATAAATAGTACACAATACTGATGTTTTATAGACAATTAACATAAAAAAACTTGAAGGTTTAATTTTGAATCATAAGTGTACATACAACCATTACTTAATCATAAACCATCACATTACTAAAACGAAGTTAATTATGAAACAATTATTTAACTGGTTAAATATGAATCAAAATTAAACTCAACTAAACTAAAAGAGCTATATATAGTCTTCCTTCTACACAGATACTTCGGTCAAATGCGATATCAATGATGAAGGTGGAGCATGAAAAACAGCCTTTTGGGTTCCTCTTGGCTTGCCTGTTATAATACGATGGGTTATTGACCGGGATATATAATTCTGTCCAACTGGGAGGCCCATTCTATGGTGAGTTTCTAACTTATAAGCTTTCTGATTCTGACATTCCATTAGATTTAAGCCCATAGTATTCGTGACCTTGATAACAATATAGGGCCTGGAACATCCAACTATTGGTGGTCAACCCTCATTCATGGTCCAAAGCAACTTTTGTGGACTAAATTCTTGGAGACTTTTTCAGTCACAACTTATAAGTCTATTCTATTGAAGGAGTAACATTTCATAAACGGTGCAAGTGTTACACTAATCATTAGTTATTAATTTCATTTGAATTTAATGGTTCTAATAATGTGTAACAGATTTATTAGATTTACGAGATTAATCTTTCCCTGTTATTAAACTAAAGTTCAACAAATAATAGTTGCTTCTGGATAAATTTGTACGTACGTATAATTATTTAATATTTGTTTTTTTTTTTTTTTTAGTTTGATATACCCTTAAAAATGGAAGTGAGAATCAAGGAATGAGTAGTTAATGTAATTTTATTTAATAAAATTTATCCATGAATTTTCCACTCTTATATTTAAGTATATACTTTTTTTTTTACGAAAAAGGATATACTAAATTGTCTGTAGGTAAATAATTCATAAGTTACTAACAAAAAAAAATAAAATTCATAAGTTAAATTTATATTCATCCCATAATTTCACCCTTATTTTTAAGGGAAGCTTGATATCAAAAATTCAATTTGAAAATGATTTATGATTATTAGAGATATATAAAACTATCAATGTAGCTTCATCCATCAACTTAAACTTAACTTTGGGTGAGATAGTTGTTTTACATGGTATTCGAGTCTCGGTATCATGTGTTCTGTCCTCATCATCCTTTAAGCCAGTGAAATTTCATGTGAGAGGTGTGTTAGCGATATGTAACAATATTAATATAATTCCACCTATCAATTTAAACTTTTGGATGAGATGGTTGCACAAATATGTTATTAATTGAATAAATTTAGTATATAGAAAAATATTTTAAATTTCACGAATAATATCAAACAGACGCATCTGTATTTGCGGCCTTACTTTCACCTCTTTAATTTTTAATTCAAGTTGTGTCTTCAACGTGTAAAGCATTATTGTCCCACTTAAATCGTAATTCAACAAAATATCATGAATCTCTCTCTCTCTTTGTTGTTGCCAGCAGCATAAACACAATTTCCATAGTCAAAGATCAATATCTTGAGCTGCTTTGTTCTTCAGGAAATCAGAATCTTTATTGGACAGAGAATAGGAAACAAATACTAAGGAATTTTTTTCTTTCTCTTCCTCACAGACTCGAGAAAATGACCATTTCATCATTCAGTTTTCATTGCAGAAGCAAGGAAGCACGACCTTTCTGTAAGTAAAGCGAAACTCTGATATTCAAAGTCCAAAAATGAGAAGAAGCAGGAAGGACAAAAACAAAAGAAATACAACGTGATAACTTGACCTGTCTATAATGAGAACAGAAAATTCCTGTTGACAAAGCGAGCTTAGATTTGCACACCCTAAGTTACAAGTAGTTAAGACATACATATAAATGTTTTTGCCTCTCTTTATAAACGATAGTCTATATGCTAGAAGTCTTGAGTTTAACAGCACTTATAATTCCACCATTTTTTAAAATTATTTTTTGACATTTATTCGGATTCTTCCCTGAATTCAATACACCTCACGAGAAAAATCGTGGGTTATGGAATGTGAAGTTCTGACCATCAAATTCAAACTGGTCAAATGGAAACTCCAAACCAACGGTTGGTGAGTTTGCAGCTGAAGTAGCAGCAGGGATCATGTCATTGATATGAGACCCAGAACTTGCCAAATTTGGGTGCCCCCCAAAGCTGTTAACCCCACTTGGAGACACCGAAAAGTGGCTTATTCCTGATGTAGCAGGGGATATGTACGAAGGGGAATTCAAGTTTTCAGCAAAGCTGTTTCCAACCATAGGGGACGGGAAAACTTGGTCTTCAATTTTTATGCTTGAAGTTGAAGGGAAATGGAAAGGTGAAAATGATTGGTCAGTGGAATCAAGGTTCTCTGTTTGGACTTTAAGGCCTGCCCTGAGGTTCAAAAGTAGCTCGTTTGGTTGCTCCTCAAGGCTTTGCAGAACATTCTGATGCTGTTGAAGAGGATTTGTGTTCAAATTTGATTCTTGGTTTTCTAGTGGAGTTGATGTAGGAACCACATTGGAGGCCATTGTGCAAGTATGCTTTCCTCGGTAATTGATTTCGAAGACAGTGGGGTCTTCATCAGATCTTTGTACTTGCTTTGTGGCCAAGCAACCTTGAACATTTCTGTGAGTGCATCTATAATAGCCTCTGCATACACACAAAGGTTATTTAGTTCAATCCAAAAGACATAATAGTTATTTACAAAATTAGCATTTATAGAGGATTGTTAATTATTAACCTTGGATACATGGCTCCAAGAATGTCTTTCTGGCCATATTTTCTCCAACTATATCCATCATCAAGAGGCCCTTCAACTCCCATTCCTGGGTTAACTCGAATATGTTTTGTCCATCTTGGGAAAGTGTTTCTATGACAAAAGGAGTTCATTCATCATGTTAGGATAAGGTCTTCACATGCATGGGGATGCAAATTAATGATAGCAAGTTGGTGTATATATTGCATACCTCTTTGTGGAAGCATTCGATTCCTGGTCCTTCAAATCTCTGTCAGAGTCTTCACTGCGGGGACTGCTGCTCAAAGGTGGTGAATCTGACTTTCGAATTACAACACCTGAAGGATGTTGTGATGATTCACCCACTGGCCCTTTCCAATTTACCATTTCAAGTGCCTTCTCAAATGTGGATATGATCTTTTGGATCAACAGCTCACGGGTTTCTTGGGAAGAAGAAGGCACGTGAAGATAGATTTGGAGCTGTCTTGCCAACTCCAAACCTTGTAGTAGCTCATGTATGAGGCTCTTTTGATCTCCCATGTTGTCCATGTAAGCACAAAACCAACAAAGGCTATATATATATATATATATATACCTAGTTGATTCGTGATTGGTGCGCCAGCGCCAGGTGATGAAAAATGATTAGTTCAGAAGCTTGGTTCTGAAAAGAGCAACCTTATGTCAGGGTGGGAACATGAACCAAGAAGACAAAGCCAAAAGATGGTTAAAACATGGTATTTGCAAAAGGTTTAATGGGAAAGAGTTTGTTTGCGTATCAGAATTAAAAATAGGATTTATAGAAACACAACTTAAAATTAAGACAAGAGAAAAAAAAGCTTAATAATGAAGGTGAGTTAGGGGCATGGGATTTAAGGAGGGGGTGTCTTTTTGAATGAAAAGAAAGTGTGGGAAACAGAGAACGTAGAAAAGAAAGGAAAGTTTGACCGAGAAAAGGGAGCGAGTGGATTTTGGTTTACTCGGACTAGTCTTTGGTCATAGGAATCAAAAGTTCAAAGAGTGAGGATGAGAGGTCCAACCACTGACCGGTTCTACGAACAGATGCTTCTTTCTCATTGACCATCTTGGTCATATACATGTTTAATCCCCGTATCATATGATTACTTTCTTTATTCTGTAATTATCACAACGTATTAATGAATCTCCGTCTTCTTCTCTTACTCGGGAGCAGTAAAAACAGGAGGTAAACCTGGAAAAATAAAAAAAACGAGACTTGGAATCTTCAAACCTTGTTCCGCGTCGTGACAATTGATGCTTCCACGTGGCCCACAGAAACGTTTGTGACACGGTTGTGACGTTGGATTCCCAAGTCAGCACACGTCACTCTCGGGGTTAGATTCCGAGTTCCAGCCCTATGACGTGAAATTACTGATTATCTTACATTATAAGTGGCAAAGTGGGTTGTCCGTTCCGCCTCGCCTTTGAAGGTGGGCTAAATATCTCAGCCCGCTCTGTCTCGTTTGGACGGACAGCCCGCTAAGTCTGTGACATTTTACACTAAAAATTAAAAAAAAAATCAGCTCGTACAGACTTGGCGGGAAGCGGATTTGAAACACTTAGCCCGCCCCGTTTGGCGGGCGTGACGGGCCGACCTGGCGGGCTGAGCTCATTTTGACAGCTCTAATTTAAAGTTGTGAATGATAAGTTCCATTTTAATTGGTAATTGATTAAATAAAGTGTATATAAGTAAGAAGATTTATAAATTCAATGTCTTAAAAATTTTGATTAAGATGTGGTGTTGGTCTCCTGCCACAGGCTCGTCTGGACCCATCTTGCAAGTGGTCTCAAAATTGGGTTGGGCTCGAAAGGCGGGTTGAGTACTTTGGATCTCGATACTCGCTTGAGGGGATACCAATGTTGGGTTAAGATGTGATATATTTTTCTTATATTACGTTGATGGATCTCACTCATTTTCTTTATTTGTATGAAATAAAATTATATAACACATGGAAAAATATATATTCTTTTAAATGATATAAACTTATATTCTTTTAAGAGATAGACAAACATAAAAGGTGAGTCTTACTAAAAAAAAAATAAAGACAAAAAAAATTAAAAATATGGATTCCATTTTTTTATATCTATCTCTCTTTTAATAAAATCTAAATTTATATTATTAAAACGACACACTCCCCCTAAACATATATTATAGAGAGAGATTGTTATTGCCTTGGACTTTCAAGTTGCAACGTTATTTTTTCTCGTATGACGACAAATTTTGATGTTTATTTATTTTTCGTTTCTCATGTACTTTTTTTTTTTTTTTTCAATTTGTAATGACACGTCTTGTTTTATAAGTTTTTAATATTCAATAGACTGCTAGATTTGATTTAACTAACTAGCTAGGTATGATCGAAACTAGATGTTGATGTTTTTACAATTATATAAGGGGTTTAACGTGTTTCTTACATATAGGAAATAATTTTATTATATATATATAAATGTATAAAAAAAATTCTTATTTTAATATAGACAATAAAAAATTACTTTAACTCAAAATCTTAAGATATTGAGTGATTATATTTTTATAATTTATATTATTTTCTAACAATTCTTCTTATATAAAACTTGAAGAGTAAATATTGTACACGCCCAATATTATTTTTCTTTTTAGTTTACTTTTTGCTTATTTAATTTCACAAGTAAAGAGAACCGAACTCGTGAACTTGTGCTCATTGAAGTCTGAAGCTCTGATAAATGAAGGTCTTTACAATTATATAAGGGGTTTAACGTGTTTCTTACATATAGGAAATAATTTTATTATATATATAAATATATAAAAAAATTCTTATTTTAATATAGACAATAAAAAATTACTTTAACCCAAAATCTTAAGATATTGAGTGATTATATTTTTATAATTTATATTATTTTCTAACAATTCTTCTTATATAAAACTTGAAGAGTAAACATTGTACACGTCCAATTTTATTTTTCTTTTTAGTTTACCTTTTGCTTATTTAATTTCACAAGTAAAGAGAACCGAACTCGTGAACTTGTGCTCATTGAAGTCTGAAGCTCTGATAAATGAAGGTCTTTTAATGGTTTATATTTCAACACGCCTCTTCACACGAGAGCCCACTGGGGGGCGGTGAGGCTCAAATACCATGTTAAGAATTATCTTGAGGTCACCACTTCAAAAGTTAGCTCAAAAGATGGGAGTGCCCAAGACCTTATAAACCTCATATTAGTTGTCCATACAATCAATGTGGGACTATATTTTTCAACATTATGGATATCAAGGATATATCATAATTTTGAAAAAAAATATAATATTTTTGAAAATCAACTGTGTCAAGACACCAGCTAGGAACAATTGGTGGCTCTGCCACTGTGTTTCATAGTTGTAATAAAAAATATAATTTTTGTTTCCAGTTAATTGATTCATGATCCGAAAAATAAAAATAAAATGAAAATCATATTTCAATTCTAGTGATCTCATTGAAGAGGTAGTTAAGGTCGAAAATCGAGATCCTCTTTGAGACTTAAGATCGTATTCATGGTTGTTAAGACGAGAAAATCACGCCAAGTGTGGATGGTTTAGTTATTATTTAATTTGGTTGGTTCCCAACCATCACCAGGATGCTTGAATTTTGTACGTATCCTAGTTTCTTTTGTGCATGTATCCAAGGAATTTGAAATATAAGTTGGTGGACCTTGTAAAATTTTGTAGGGAGAAGAGAGAGAACGGAAAAGCAGAATATGAGTGGAAAATAGGACATGTGGCAAATTGTTTAATTTAATGTGAAAGATTTAAGACCAGTTCAGTATTTGTTTAACGCATCAGTACTTTTTTTTTTAGAAAACAACGCATCAGTACTCAACTAATTTATGAAATGAGAGAAATTACAAGTGTTCTTTTCTTGAAACTAAAAAAATACAAATCAAAACTAAAACCAAAATTTAATATATTTACAAGCATCTACAAACTTTTAAAATTAGACTTTAAAACAAGTTGTAACATGTGAACTGTCAACTCAGCATTGGGGCAGCTGATGCATGTTTTCAGAAAAAGTACCAATAATATTACGCCAATAAAAAGCGCGCACACACACATAAAATAGCAGTTACTTATATGCATTTTCTAAGAGTTATGTTGTAAGAAAATTAATTGTGTTATGTTATAGAGATTCGTTTTACGTGTCGATTTTTTTTTGCTGCGGGCCCCACAAAATATTGTGTGTGTAGGAAATTTTTTGTAGTCATGTTAAATGATAGATGATAAACCCTATTTATATAATATATTAAGAGTAAATATATTTTTTGATCCTGAGTAACTCTCATGATGTTCGCTTTAATTCCTAATAAATAAAAAGGCGATTCGTGATCCCTAAGAAATTCAAAATAGACCTATTTAATTGAAATTGTAGTCCCTCACAAATTCAAAAAAGACCCACGTTAGTCCCTCAAAAGGATTAAAAAAGGTCCATTTTGAATTTCTTAGGGACCACGAATAGTCTTTTTATTTGATACGGACTAAAGCGACCATCGTAAAATTTGCTGAGGACCGAAAAGAGTATTTACTTATATATTAATATTTTTATGTTATAATAAATAATTTTATCTCATATATATATATATATTTATATATATAAAGATAGAATATATTCTTACTGTCAAAAAATTCATTATCACTCCACTACTTTCATAATCGCCATTGGATTAGCATCTCTTTCTCTTCAAAAAAATTCCAGCATTCTCTCTCTCTCTGATCCAATGATAATTATGAAAGTAGTGGGTTGGTTGTAAGAATATTTCGCCTTATGTAAAAGTATGTGAAGCCCTTATTAGAGAATAATATTGTTGAGAAATATAGTTCCACATTGGTTGTATGGGCAACTAATGTGAGGTTTATAAGGCCTTGGGCACTCCCACCCTTTGAGCTAGCTTTTGGGGTGGTGACCTGATCAAGGTTCTTAACATGGTATCAGAGCGTTCGAAATCTCACCGCCTCCCACTTTCTTCGTAGTGGAATTTTCACATGTAGGTGGACTTATATGTTGTCCACCCTTCAAGCCCAATGGGCTCTCGTGTGAGGGGGCGTGTTAAGAAATATAGTCTCACATTGGTTGTATGGACAACAAATGTGATTGGTTGTATGGGCAACTAATGTGAGGTTTATAAGGCCTTGGACATTCTCACCCTTTGAGCTAGCTTTTGGGGTGGTGACCTTACGGTTCTATATAAGGGGGCGTTTTGAAATATATAAAAACCATTAATGTTAAGAACCTTGAGGTCACCACCCCAAAAGCTAGCTCAAAGGGTGGGAGTGCCCAAGGCCTTATAAACCTCACATTAGTTGCCCATACTAGGGGTGGCAATTTGGGTTGACCAGCCTCGCCCCGCCACCAACCCGCCAAAAACGGGGCGAGGCGGGTTGACCTGCCAAAAAATATGGGTTGAAAAATTGAACTCACCCCGTTTTATGGTGGGTTGGCGGGTTAACCCACCAAACCGCTAATTAAAAAAATTAATTAAAATTCAAAAATAAATTATGTTTTATGAATTTTTCTAATATTATTTTATTTTATTTCACACTTCTCTATATATTTTTAGTCTCAATCTTAAATGTATACTAATATTTGTTCAACATTCTTTAGGAATTTATATATAGATAACATTTGTCATAAATAAATTTGTTATTCTTTATTTTTTCTAGGAAGTACTAAGATAAAAAAAAATTGGATATCACAAAATTTAAGGACTGATGAAATACTACCTAATTAAAAAAAAAAATTATAACCCGGCAGGTCATCACGCCCCGCAGCTGGTTGAACCCGTTTTGACCCACTTCTAGGCGGGGCGGGTTGA